AGGCGGAGGCGGAGGCGGACTCGAACTGGTCGCTGTCGAGGCCGGCGGCAGCCGGGCCGACGGGCGGTTTGAGCGTCGGGGACAAGTGACAGGCGGGGCCGGGCTTGCGCGGCAACACATGTTGCCCGGCCAGACAGGTTGTGGAGATGCTGCGTGCGCGCAGTCGGTAGCATCGTTGCGACTCGCAGTCTGGCTTGACGACGGCGGCTGACATGAGGCGATTGGTGAGTCGACGACCGAGCAGCCAACCGCCGAGTTGGCGGAGGACGCGCCATGCACGTCGGCGGAAGAGACGGCCGACGGCGCAGTAGAAGATCCAGTTGGAGCATGAGTTGAGAAAACAGAAACTGCGGAACATGTAGTACATGAAGCGATGCACATCGGCGTCCTTCTGGAGCCGGCCGTAGTTGAGCACCATGAGGTAGACGATGAGCGGATACGTGCTCGCCATGTACCAAAGGTTCATGCAGACCAACAGACGCGTCACGTGGCCGGCGTTGTCACTGCCGCCGTGGCGCTGGCCGTGCGCTCCATCGGACCGGCCGCGCAGGTTCTCCATGGAAACCGAGGCCAGGCTGAAGCGCGTCTCGCTGGCGCGACGGTCTCGGAGCGGTCTGGGAGCGCCCGGCGGAGCCAGTCGGAAGACCGACAAACCGACCGAAGGACCGGCCGAAGTGAGTCGGCGTCTGCAGGTCAGCGGCGCTATGGACGGCTTCTGGTAGATCGACCTGGCGCTCAGCCTCTTCGGTGAACTCGCCGGACCGATGGCTCGGTTGGGTTGGTTCTGATGGCTCGGTTGGCCCGACTGGATCGGGCAGGTCGGCCGGGTGACCAAAAGAGCCGGTCGAAGGAGCGGGCTGATACCGGCCAGATCGCCGGCCAGTTTGCCGCGGAAGGAGCGCTTCAGTCGGAAGATGTTCCAGCAGATGATGACGGTGGACGAGGTCATTCCGATCAACGGAATGATGCCCCAAAAGGTGAGATCGCACAGGGTGATTGTGTGAAAGAGCTCGGGAAAGACGGGATCACAGTCGCCGTCGATGACACGCCAGTAGAGCAGGTAGGGCAGAATGGGGACAATGAGCACGATCGAGGCGATGGTGTAGACCCAGACGAGGGTGGAGATGGGTGGCCCACCACCGCGAGCCCGCAACGGCTGCAAAATGAGGTAGGAGCGCTGCAACGAGAGGAAGCATTGCATGTAGGCGGACCAGTAAAGAAAGTAGTTGGACAGACTTTTGTGCAGTTTACAGGCCGTGTTGTTGAGATCGCGGATGTCAAAGTTCCACCACACCTTCAACAGCATCCAGACGCCCTCCAGCGTGAGGATCATAAAATCGCCCAGGCAGATGCTCACCAACCAGATGAGCATGTTGGCCTGGAAGAGGCGCGAGAGGAAGAGGAAGGCCAAACAGAAGAGGGTGCCCAACGTGCCGACGAGGATGACCAACGGCAGGTACCAAGTGAGAAAGTAGTGACAGAGATTCTGGTAAAGGTAGCGGTACCGGCCGGTTGTGTTGCCGGCCTGACCATCAGTCTGGCGGGTCAGGTTGCCGATGCCTGTCGCCAGGGCCGACCGGTTGCCGGGCGAGCCCGGCGGGCAGAGGAGCAAGAGGAGGAGGCCGAGGAGGCGGGTCATCCTCGTCGGCTGGGCTCGAGCCGGGCAGGGCCGAGGAGGCGGGAGGGTCGGCGAGGCTGCGCCGGTCGGGCGAGCCTCGAGCCCTGCGACTGGATGAAGCTGGCCAAAAGAAACGGCATTATTGTCTCTGCAATCGGACCCATTCCAAGCCGCTTTCTGCCACCGTCGGCCAGACGGACTCGGCAAATGATGAGCTAACGTGAAGCCGACGAGTCGGCCGACCTTCAGATGCTCGAAACCTCGGGTCGGCCTGATTGGCCGAGGCAGTCCTCCTGTTGCTGATCGCCTTTTGTCCCGTCGAAAGTGATTGGCTGACTAAAGACGACACTCACTCACTCACGCATGCACGCACAAACACGTATCCGTCTATTCAACGCATACGTACATACTGACACGCACAGCGGCTGTATACGATTGCCTATAGACAGGTAGACACACATGTCCGCATAAACAGGTACGCAGACTGGTAGGAAAGAGATAGAAAGAGACAAGCCGACAAACACACCGGCAACTCGGGGAAGTTTTGTGTTGCCGAGACCTCAGGTCGGTTGTATGAATGGGACCATCATAGATGGACAAGGAATAGGCCATACACGACAACCTTACAAGTTGGATTGTGGAGCCAGATTTGCCCTGTTGGTATCATCTCGTTTTTCGAGCATACAAATGCAGAAAAGACCTCCTCTTTTGTCCCGACTCTTTGCTCTCTCACTCTTCAATCCACCTACCACTAAAACTGCTAAATTCCTGGCAGACCTTCCATTTCGTTGAAAAAGGGTGGATGGAACAAAATTAAAATCTTTCCAGCAACAACCGAAGTCCAGCTTCTATTCATACTTCTGGCCAAT